TTGAAAACTAGTAACTTGTCAGCGCATGACTTCAAAAAAATACTTGACCTCGATGGGTCGACACCTGAGCCCGCGATACGGTCAAGTGATACTGGTCAGCGGGTACTCTGTTTTGACAGCTGTCAATTGATCAAAACATTGATGTCCAATATGTGTGCATTATCAGTTTAACTAGTAAAAGTATGAGATTGAACATTGTTCGCCATCTAGTAAAACAATTAACTGGTCAGCGGACAGCTACCAAATAAATCACGTCACCTCGATGAGTTGAAACATGAGCCTGCGATATGGTCATGGGATACTGGTCAGTGGGTATCCTGTTTTGACAGCTGTCAATTGACCATATTGTGGATGTCCCATACTAAAATCCTATATTAAAGATGTGGACTTGCCAAGACATGCCTGAGACACCCCTCCCTTCCTTTTGATAGTCTCCCCTACCCCACCCGTACAATCTGTAGACGCGTACGTACGTATGTACGTACGTACGTACGTACGTACGTACGCTCGGTCAATCACGTGACAACCAAACGAAAAGAGGTTGACCATATTCCGTGAGTATGGGGCTCTGTCCCACGCGCGCTTCGCGCGCGGGAGCCCCGCTAATATACCCTGCGCCGGCCAGGAGCCGATTGACCCTACTTATGAGCTCGGCTGGGGGTCAGGGAGGAAATTGAGGGGAGCAGGTTGGAAGGAAACGTCCCCGTACTCGACCCAGCCCTCTACAGCGCTACCTGTATCACAGATTGAGAAAAACATCATTGTCATATGTATTCACCAGGTTTAAAATTCACCATCTCATCTTAGTCATTGCGTATAAAATCATATACGAATTACCGACCCTCAGGCGTATCAGGCTTTGATGAATTTATTTGCAATGTGCTTTTGTTCACGACTTGATATAAGATTCAAACAAAAGAAAAGAAAAAGGAAGAATGGAAAGAAGTTGCCGTCTAGTACAAAGACGGACACACGCAGAGCTTGTGCTTGCATTTGTCTCCCGCCCACTCTATTATAAGTAGTTTCTGTCTTAATTTGTGATAACGCCTCGTTAGTTTAACCCAAATGACTCGCTAAAGTACATTTTTCCAACTTTTTCTACTTTATGTCCCTAAGACTTACAATATTAAAGAAGCCGTTAAAAAACAAATGGACCCAGCACAAACTTCCCGCAGCAAGGTGAGACGTAATTTATTACACAGTGAATAATGAAATAAAAGACCACACAGACAGACTAAACGTACAGAGACTGACAGACAGGGGGGAGTACAGATAGACACTATAGGCGCTCAGATAGAGCTGATGGATAGATAAGTGACACTCTAACCAGTTAGAACTTTCCTTAGTTTGTGTCTTACTAAAATGCGCAGTGACAGACAGATCGAAAGAAGTGTCCTACAGACACTGAGATCAAGAAAGGAATAGACTATGAATATCCGACAACACGTAAAGGGAAATGTGATTGGAAGCAGCCAGTTTAACAGACAAACTTTTGGTCACTTTTAAATCAGTTGAGATTGTCAGACCGATAGAAAACCTTCGATTAGGCGGTCCTTCTTCCTTTTACTTTGATTTGGGAGGAAAAAGAAGTCAAGACAGGGACATCAGTGAAGAAATGACTGTCTTTGATAGCAACTCTGTTGATATATAAAATATCTTGGTATCTGGTAAGAAAAACATGAGATAAGCTAATAATATTCTGACTGAGTTCTGAACCTAGGGGACAGGTTTTAGGAGCTGTTAGAGACAGACAGTTAAATCTAACAACTTCCTTGTTATTGGTAGGAAAAACCGTGCCAAGAAAACGCAAACAAGACCAAACCTCGATCTTGCGTAGACCAGCTAAAGAATGGTGCAGGCAAGTGTGGCTACTACAAGATTTACGATGCTGCAGGGAATGGATTCACCGTGTTCTGTGATATGGAAACAGAACCTGGGGCGGCTTGGACACTTATCACGTCTTGGAGCTTCAAAAACAAGCTATTCTCGAACTTTAGGTACTTTTCAAATGAGCAAAATAAAAGTAAAATTGTGTGATAATCGCTGTTACTGCACTCCTCCCTCCCCCTCACCCCCCTTTGTGCTTATCTGAAGTCGCAGTGTCATCTCAAAGGAGAATTGGAAAAAAACTTCCATAGGCTGAGGATACTCTCGCGCAGCCTTTTTTTAAGCAAAAGCATCTCACATCTCTGACTTTAATAACTGCATTAAAAAAAGAAAAGGGAAGGAAAAAAGAAAACATGCATGGCTATTTACTATACTGTAACTTTGGATAATTTTGTTTTCATTGACAGGACAACTCCCTTGTCAATCAACGATCCTGTGAACGAAAACTCCCCTAACTGGTTCCTTTACCGGCTGACAGTGGACAGAATGAAGTCACTGAGGGACGTATCCACCCACTGGCGAGCCACCTGCAGTTATGACAAGTACGGCATCAACAACTACAAAGATTACGTCCGTGGAAAGTTTGCGGAGGCCGACATCTTTGCCTTCCTTGGTGGTGGTGTTTGCCTTAAGACCGAGCTTGTCAACATTCGTGGTCACACTGGAATTCACAAGACTGCCAAGTTCTGGCAGGTTGCTGCTACTTTCACTCCTCATATCGACAGTTCTTCAAAAGGTTGCCAGTTTGATCCCACCGTCGGTGCAGTTAGCAGCGAGGATAACTTTGGTTTTTACGGCAATACAAACCCCAAGTTTACTTGTACAATGAATGGTGACTCTACCACGCAGTGGTGGTTCGGTGCCTATAAGTAACACTCTGGTGGATTATTTCGCGCGTAAACACTAGGCATTTACTTTGAGTTTGGCATGCGCCCATTGTGTTGTAAGGGCTGTGAAACGTTTTAACTGAACTGTGCCACCTCTTTAATACAAGTAAATAACAGATAAAGAATGGTTAGCGCAAAACAAGGAAAATGCCAGCAAAACGGTACTTTTTAAACCCACTTTTCATTGTTTTTATCTCAGCTTGAACGGACGACTATAAAGTAACCAAATGATAAATTTATAAAGTAGATAATTTCGTCAAAGGCATTTGATTCAAGTTTTTGGAATAAGTCAAACAAAAAAGTACCATATCTAATGTTTATCCTTTCTGGTTTTTCCTGATTTAGTCATCTAAACATGTAAAAGAAATGTAGTCTCACAATAGAAATTTCTCTTGACAAAACCAAAGCCAGTTTTCTTCAGTCGTTCCTTTATTTCTTAACTTGTTGCTAGTCAAGGGGCAATACGTTTGAAGTTGAAACTTGCATTCTGAATATTGGTTGTGTTTCCAGGCTCCCACATTTCGGTGTTGTTTCTGAGATAACTGGTCTGACCACGTGATTAGTCCAACTGGGATTGGCTGCAGGGAATAACAGGTACCTTTGACAAGCCCAGGGGAATCTGTACGATTTGCTTCCCGTAGAATCTCTCAATTGTTTTTCGTAGGCCGGAGGCCTCTAAGGGGTAGCAAAACATGCTAAATTCCTTTGGGGTCAGTATCAAAAAGACATTATTATTCATTCAAAATATTTCGCCGTTTTCCGATAGTATTTCATCCCCCAGCTGAGAGGCCACGTGCGCGATGAAGTCTTTTTACTACTGAGACCAGAATCCTTTTTATTTTTTTTCTATCTTTAGTTTTTCTTTCTGAGGTTTAGCTAACAAAATCTTTAATTTGCAAAAGAAAACAAAACCAGGGAGGAATTTTCGGAATTGAAACGAAAAATACGTTCATACACTCCCGTAGTTCCTTCGAAAACGAGACTACCAGATTCCGAATCGAAATGGCCAATGTCTATAACCGCTTTCAGACCGAATCGGTGCAAAAGCCATACCCTTTTGGGCTTCACACCCTTTATGACTTACATTTACTTGGCGACTTGGCTATTGACTCAGAGGCCATGAGGGCGAGAGGAATAATTGTCTAGTAAAATCCAAATAGTTGGTCAAAAGTATCGAGACAAAACAGCTTTAGCTTGCAAAACGCGATTCAGCCGCCATTGTTTGGGTTTTCAAAGCCGGCGCTTTTCTCAACTGAGCTATGGAGACCCATATATTGGGAGCAGGCTTATTCTTAACCCAACTTGACTTATCTTAACGTGGGTTCGAATCCCGTTGAAGTCCCGAAATTTCAGTTTCATGTTAATTTGCAATTGCTTGAATTTCAACGACCACTGCGACGATCATATCTTAATTTAAACTTTGAATTTCCGCAGTTCACATCATCTTTATTCTAAATGAAGAGTCGTTTTAAAGGAGCTTTCTTTTCAGTATGTTGCTGTTATAAATAACTGAGTGTACGCAACTGGAGTTGGAGAACGTTTTCTACAATGTGTATGATAACTTATTGCGTGTAATCAGTAACAATAACTAAAGAACTTAGTATACAATTCTGTTGAAGGGAATAATGCCGACAGTTACATGTTTTCCTCTCAGTATTGCAGTGAGCTGTAAAACTCACACCTTTGGATAACTGGCTTTGTTTCTAAATTAGAATATCACCAGGTTATTGAAAATCAGTTCCGCAAAGTTGGGGCGGTGATTATCTGGAGAAAAATGGTTGTGTTTTTCACATTTGCGATTTGTGTTAAAAATTAAAAACGGTCGTCGGAAAATTTTTAGTATAAAGACAATTCTTCCAATCTGAAGAATTTTCTGAGGAAAGTTTAATACTACTTCATGCCCTCGGATTTTCGACTGAACCCGTCATGGTGGGTAATAATTTCGGATGAGACGAAAAAGGCACCTAAAACTTTCGAGAGGAGCAAGTTCCGTTAAGGCATCCGAACAGAGGGCTGCTCCAAATTAAGCAATGAAAAAGGCTTAATATAAAGCACAGGGAAAACTTTTGGAGACAATTCTGGCAATACTGACATTGGGTCGGCTTTTAGTGCCCCTGTAATTTTGTCCACCAGTTCCTACCATTATTCCTAACCAGCTTCTCATGATCCCCTTTCCTTTTATATTTACTCTCTTTATAAATTCTTTTAGTTTCCTCTTTGCTTTTAATGAAGTCACTGAGGGACGTATCCACCCACTGGCGAGCCACCTGCAGTTATGACAAGTACGGCATCAACAACTACAAAGATTACGTCCGTGGAAAGTTTGCGGAGGCCGACATCTTTGCCTTCCTTGGTGGTGGTGTTTGCCTTAAGACCGAGCTTGTCAACATTCGTGGTCACACTGGAATTCACAAGACTGCCAAGTTCTGGCAGGTTGCTGCTACTTTCACTCCTCATATCGACAGTTCTTCAAAAGGTTGCCAGTTTGATCCCACCGTCGGTGCAGTTAGCAGCGAGGATAACTTTGGTTTTTACGGCAATACAAACCCCAAGTTTACTTGTACAATGAATGGTGACTCTACCACGCAGTGGTGGTTCGGTGCCTATAAGTAACACTCTGGTGGATTATTTCGCGCGTAAACACTAGGCATTTACTTTGAGTTTGGCATGCGCCCATTGTGTTGTAAGGGCTGTGAAACGTTTTAACTGAACTGTGCCACCTCTTTAATACAAGTAAATAACAGATAAAGAATGGTTAGCGCAAAACAAGGAAAATGCCAGCAAAACGGTACTTTTTAAACCCACTTTTCATTGTTTTTATCTCAGCTTGAACGGACGACTATAAAGTAACCAAATGATAAATTTATAAAGTAGATAATTTCGTCAAAGGCATTTGATTCAAGTTTTTGGAATAAGTCAAACAAAAAAGTACCATATCTAATGTTTATCCTTTCTGGTTTTTCCTGATTTAGTCATCTAAACATGTAAAAGAAATGTAGTCTCACAATAGAAATTTCTCTTGACAAAACCAAAGCCAGTTTTCTTCAGTCGTTCCTTTATTTCTTAACTTGTTGCTAGTCAAGGGGCAATACGTTTGAAGTTGAAACTTGCATTCTGAATATTGGTTGTGTTTCCAGGCTCCCACATTTCGGTGTTGTTTCTGAGATAACTGGTCTGACCACGTGATTAGTCCAACTGGGATTGGCTGCAGGGAATAACAGGTACCTTTGACAAGCCCAGGGGAATCTGTACGATTTGCTTCCCGTAGAATCTCTCAATTGTTTTTCGTAGGCCGGAGGCCTCTAAGGGGTAGCAAAACATGCTAAATTCCTTTGGGGTCAGTATCAAAAAGACATTATTATTCATTCAAAATATTTCGCCGTTTTCCGATAGTATTTCATCCCCCAGCTGAGAGGCCACGTGCGCGATGAAGTCTTTTTACTACTGAGACCAGAATCCTTTTTATTTTTTTTCTATCTTTAGTTTTTCTTTCTGAGGTTTAGCTAACAAAATCTTTAATTTGCAAAAGAAAACAAAACCAGGGAGGAATTTTCGGAATTGAAACGAAAAATACGTTCATACACTCCCGTAGTTCCTTCGAAAACGAGACTACCAGATTCCGAATCGAAATGGCCAATGTCTATAACCGCTTTCAGACCGAATCGGTGCAAAAGCCATACCCTTTTGGGCTTCACACCCTTTATGACTTACATTTACTTGGCGACTTGGCTATTGACTCAGAGGCCATGAGGGCGAGAGGAATAATTGTCTAGTAAAATCCAAATAGTTGGTCAAAAGTATCGAGACAAAACAGCTTTAGCTTGCAAAACGCGATTCAGCCGCCATTGTTTGGGTTTTCAAAGCCGGCGCTTTTCTCAACTGAGCTATGGAGACCCATATATTGGGAGCAGGCTTATTCTTAACCCAACTTGACTTATCTTAACGTGGGTTCGAATCCCGTTGAAGTCCCGAAATTTCAGTTTCATGTTAATTTGCAATTGCTTAAATTGCAACGACCACTGCGACGATCATATCTTAATTTAAACTTTGAATTTCCGCAGTTCACATCATCTTTATTCTAAATGAAGAGTCGTTTTAAAGGAGCTTTCTTTTCAGTATGTTGCTGTTATAAATAACTGAGTGTACGCAACTGGAGTTGGAGAACGTTTTCTACAATGTGTATGATAACTTATTGCGTGTAATCAGTAACAATAACTAAAGAACTTAGTATACAATTCTGTTGAAGGGAATAATGCCGACAGTTACATGTTTTCCTCTCAGTATTGCAGTGAGCTGTAAAACTCACACCTTTGGATAACTGGCTTTGTTTCTAAATTAGAATATCACCAGGTTATTGAAAATCAGTTCCGCAAAGTTGGGGCGGTGATTATCTGGAGAAAAATGGTTGTGTTTTTCACATTTGCGATTTGTGTTAAAAATTAAAAACGGTCGTCGGAAAATTTTTAGTATAAAGACAATTCTTCCAATCTGAAGAATTTTCTGAGGAAAGTTTAATACTACTTCATGCCCTCGGATTTTCGACTGAACCCGTCATGGTGGGTAATAATTCCGGATGAGACGAAAAAGGCACCTAAAACTTTCGAGAGGAGCAAGTTCCGTTAAGGCATCCGAACAGAGGGCTGCTCCAAATTAAGCAATGAAAAAGGCTTAATATAAAGCACAGGGAAAACTTTTGGAGACAATTCTGGCAATACTGACATTGGGTCGGCTTTTAGTGCCCCTGTAATTTTGTCCACCAGTTCCTACCATTATTCCTAACCAGCTTCTCATGATCCCCTTTCCTTTTATATTTACTCTCTTTATAAATTCTTTTAGTTTCCTCTTTGCTTTATCATCCGAGAATAAAACAAAGTGAGGTCAAATTCTTCACAATAGTTTGAAAAATTTAGTGACGTGTCATATTTATTTATTTCTATTTTAAGGACAAAATGGAGAAGTGATATCCTCCCTTGATTTTGCAATCAGAGACGCAGTAGTTTTTTGGAATCCTTTAAGCACCAACATACAAATTCTCCAGGATGGCGTTCATAGGTTTCTTGAAAACATGGTTGAGAGAATTTGTTAAAAGATCAAAGCATATTTTCTTCAGTGATTATAACATTTATTCTTAAAACCTTTCCACCTGACTATTTACTGAAATTTTTAGGAGAGAATTGATGTTGGTCACTCTTCGGAAGGGTTAAAACTATTTTACAATCATACATTTTATAGATCTAATTTANTTTTTTTTTTTCTGTAGCTCGATCGATCGTGATAAAGTGGTTTCAACGCGCACATAGGTAAGTACTCACCATTTACACGTCAGGACATTTCAAGATACCTCGTACACCCATTAAATCTCAGTCGGTTCGCTTCCTTTTAATGTTAAATACTTGGTAGCCACAAAATAATTGACTTCAGTCATCCACTGCTGAACATTATTTGTACTGGGATTCTGCTGTTACTGTCAGAAGCAGATTGCGCATAAAAATTGATAAAAAGTAGGCTCCCGAGTGTATGCTGAAGATTCCTTAGAGGATCTCCTTGGCCTCAGCAATCCCGTCACTGCTCACAGCACTGCTCAGAGAGCAAAATGTTGCCATCGTACGTTTTTTTTAAATTTAAGGATTTCCGAGATAAGCACTTAACTTAATAATTTCATTCATGATCCAGTTCCCATTTTTTAAAGATTATTTTTGAATAAAAAAATTGAAAGCTCGACGTGCAATCTTTCACGAAAGCATATCGGATTTAAACCGGGAAAAAGGACAATAGATTTGATAAAGGTGGTGTAATTTTAAAAGATTTACGATGAAACAGTAAATGGCAGTTAATGGAGCGTGACGCGCCAGAGCTCCCGGGAATGATGACTCGTGCCATGCAACGAGCCATGAATCTACAATAGTTAATATCTTTGTCGCATCTTAGTACAATGGTACGGACAGGTACCAAGGTCAAAATGTTGCAACACTGTCTAGTACGTTTGTAACATTCGTTCTGTATGGCTAGATTCAATGAATACCTCTATTCATGTCTCGTTGTACGCACCGTGTGTTGCTGCAACACTATTGTACGCCATCGTCCATTGGCTTAGCTTTAGACGTATGTCTAGCCCGGGATTTCTAGCTATAAAAAGGTTATTTTAGGCAAAATTCATCATTCGCTTAGCTGCTTTGCTTACTTAACAGTCTACTTGTAAATATTATAATTTTTTGATGGCTCGTCCACGTGTGTCGTCGAAGCCTCGCAAATCTCGTGGTTCGGAGAACCTCACGTCCCTCTCTGAAGAGGTCCTTCGCCTCCGCTTACAGGCGCTAAATCTCCCCATTACTGGTAGCAAAACTGTTTTAGTCCGCCGGTTAAAAACCGCGACACATCCTCGAAAAGGTATTACATCTCGGCCATCCAAAACGCAAGCCGTAGCTAGAGGAGGGGGGTGAATAGGTCCGCGGATCGGCGGATTTGGTCTTAAAAAGCTTACGGATTGTGGATTTTGGCGAAAAATCGAGCGGATTCGCGGATTTGAAAAATACCGTGGATCGCGGGTCAGCTGAAAGTTTTGGCCCGGTTTCCGGATTCTGTCAGTCTAGAAGTTCGGATTGTGGATCGGATCATCAATTTTCGGTCGGCCTTGGTCAATGTGCTGGTGTTTTGTCGGCTAACGTTCTACTTCCGAGGTTTCCGGAAGAGACTTTCTCTTGATAGACAGCGTGACAGAAATGACGTCAGGCAACCTTGTGCATGGTGACATATGGTTCAGGTTATGGCGGTAATGCTAAGTGACCTGACAAGCCCCGGGAGGGGGGGGGGACTCCGCATATGAAAGTGGTGGGGATGCTCGTCGTCTCTCTTAGGGGTGTAAATTTCGGACTTTGGTCTCATTTAGGGTGTTCTGGGCAAAACGCCACCATATTTAGCCGTGAAGGTCTCGTTTAGGGTTGCACGCGAAAAAATATAAAAATATATATTTGATATGTATATTTTTAATTCGTTTCATTTACTCCAGTCATGTAATCCAAGTTTTCTCATTCGTCTGTGTTTTAACATGGTCTCCTTTAGGGATCAAAAAAAGCTTTTGTCACGCCCAGATCGGTCTCCTTTAGGGGTTTAATTCAAAATTTCCGACGAGCATCCCCACCCCTTTCATATGCGGAGTCCCCCCCCCTCCACCTCACGGGCTGACAAGATCTGTGAATACGTTCGTGTAAATTGTCTGAATTGCAAAATGGAAACTAGAACTATCGAGTGTGTAGCCTTGGGAACAAAGATGACCGTTGCTTTTGCAAACATCTTCATGGCCAGAATAGAAAAACAAATATTGAGTCAGAGTTGCATCACGATGAAACCGCTTTTTTGGAAAAGGTATATTGACGATGTGTTTTCGCTATGGAACGCAAGTCTAAACAAAATAGAGGGTTTTGTGAAAAAGGCAAATAACTTTCACTCTACGATAAAATTCACGGCTGAGATGTCAGAAACAGAGATCACGTTCTTGGACACAAAAGTGTACAAAGGAGTAAGATTCGACAAGGAATCAATCCTAGACGTGCAAACACATTACAAACCAACAGAAACATTCCAGTACACGAACTTCTACTCGTGTCACCCGCCAG